GAAACAGTTCACGCCAAAAAAGACTCATGAAGAGCGGATCGTGATCCGTGATGATGGAACATGGGATGCCATGGAGTCTTACCACTTCTCGAACAAACGCGTCAACCACCCTCTTGGCTGTGAATGGGTGAGATAGTGGCAAAAAATGAGCGTATTTGGACAGGCGATCGACTACCACTAGGATCGTGTCCATACCTTGCGACCGAGGTAAGCCACATATAAAATCCATGGAAATATCCTCTCACACCCTCGCCGGAATAGATAATGGTTGCAGTAGCCCCGCAGGAACCAGTGCCTCAGATTTGGAACGTTGGCAAACGGAGCAGTTAGCAACATACTCGCGGATGTCGCCCTTCATTCCCCGCCAGAACAGATTGTCTGCCACACGCTTATATGTCCTCAAAAAACCAGAGTGTCCTCCTAAGGCAGAATCGTGGAATTCATGCAACAACCTGCGTATCCAAGGTGACTTACGTGGTAAAACGACCCTGCCCTGGTAGCACAAGAGGTCTTGATGTAATGAGAATCCAGGTGCTACTTCCTCACTCCTGTCCAACTTACCAATTAATGCCACGCATTCCTCATCTTGCCGCTTCTCCTACCGAATGTCAGTCCAATTTACTAGCCGCGGTATGGACAGGGCAGTCAACTCCATCGCCGCGCCTTCCCCGCGCCGGGACAACGCATCAGCGGCCCGGTTCGAAGCGCCCTGCTTATACTGCAGCTCGAAATCATACCCAAAGAGCTTAATGGGCTAGCGGAGGTGTTCGGGAGGCAGGAGCCGTTGATCCATAAGAAACCTTAAGCTCCGTTGATCGGTTCGCACCACAAAGTGGTACCCAAGCAAGTAGTGGCGCACTTTTGTACTGCCAATACGACTGCCATGAGCTCACGCTCATAAACTGACCGGAGTCGTGTAGTCCCCGACAACTCCGTACTGAAAAAAGCAATGGGCCTCCCTTTCTGCATTAGTACTGCGCCCAAACCCGAGCCGGAGGCGTCTGTTTCCCCACCACGAAGAGTTTCGAGAAATCTGGCATTGCAAGGACCGGCAGGGTGGTCATGGCATGCTTAAGGGCGTCAAATGCGGCCCTTGCCTCCTGAGTCCATTTGTACTCTCCTCGTTTGAGTAGTTCCGTCATAGGTCTCGCCAACTGTCCAAAGTTGCGAACGAAATGCCGGTAATAAACGGCTAGCCCCAAAAATCCCCTAACCCCATGGACATTCTTGGGTGTGGGCCAAGCCACAACGGCTTCTATCTTAGCCAGATCAGCCGCCACTCCAGCGGCCGAGATTACATGTCCCAAGTACTCCAGCTGTTGCTGCCCGAATGCGCATTTCTTCCGTTTTGCGAACAACTGCCCATCCCTTAAGAGTTGCAAGACTGCAGCGAGATGCTCCTGATGCTCTTCCCAAGTGCGGTTGTAAACCAAGATGTCATCAAAGAATACCAATACAAAACGCCGTAGGTAAGGCTGGAAAACCTTATTCATAAGCGCCTGAAACGTGGCTGGGGCGTTTGTCAAGCCGAACGGCATGACCAAGAATTCGTAGTGCTCCTGATGTGTACAGAATGCAGTCTTTTCCACATCAAATTCCCTGACTCGAATTTGATGATATCCCGCCCGTAGGTCCAATTTCAAAAAATACTGTCGCCCCATGTAATTCGTCCAAAAGTTCGTCGATGACGGGAATTGGGAATTTGTCCGGGACCGTGAGCTGGTTAAGGGCTCGATAGTCCACGCAAAAACGCCAGCTTCCGTCCTTTTTCGTGACTAACAGAACGGGGCTGGAGAAAGGGCTACTACTCGGCCTAATGACCCTAGAAGCCAGCATTTTAGCCACGAGCTTCTCTATCTCACTCTTCTGCACTTGGGGGTACCTGTACGACCGAATGTTAGGCGGTTCCGCCCCTGGTTTGAGAACGATTTGGTGATCCCGTGCTCGGTTTGGCGGTAAACCACTTGGTGTCTCAAACACAGTAGCGAACTGGGCCAAGATCTCCCGAAGAGCCTCTGGTTCCTTGGCTCGGAACTCATCAACCACCCCCCCTTCGATAGCATATATTTCCAACAACACCCCTGCTATATCCCCGTGGAATGTCTGGGAGTCCGTAAACTCACAGGCTCCAACTTCAGCGTCGGGTCCCCCTTTAAACAAATCCACCCCGCGTTTGACTTGAATATCAGGGTAAACTTTTGCCAGTCGGCCCTGACCTCCCCCAGCGTTTATAGCCATGTTACCCCTAGTACCACCTCAGCACACCCAAGTTCAAAAGGAACGAAATCCCCCAAAACCGAGTACCCTTGGATTCTGAGCTCTACCCCCTTACACACTCACTGTCGTTTAAAGCAGGCGTCGTTACCTACCTGAATTCCATAGCTGCCCGTAGCTGCCAGGGGAATTTGCAGCTCCGTCACGATCCTTAGAGACAGGAAATTGTGGGAAGCCCCACTGTCCACCAAAACCACCACCTCGCGGCTTCTGATGGTCCCTTTTAGCTTCAAGGTGTTGGCCGACGAAATTCCTATCAGTGAATTGAGCGAGAGGCCTGCCATCCCTTCGACCTCTTCTGTGGGTGGCTCCACCGCCTCCGTTGAATCTTCATCATCCTCCCCGTCCTCTTATGACACCAACCCTAAGTTTCTCTCTTAACTCAAAAAGCTCAATGGATCGTAGATGCTCTGATATCAACAAAACACCAATACCACACACACACATTAGAAACAACAAGAAAATGAGAATAATTGGAGGGAATTTTATTAATCTAATCAGCCAAGAACACCAAATTACACTGAAATGTAAAGGATAGAACGGAGAATTCGAGTACTCCGGGAACTCCTAATTTAGTGGTATTCGAGAGACCACCGCTCTCCCTAATCTCAGTTTCTCAGAACTCTCCAAATTACAACATACCTCTAGTGAGCTATTAAGCCCTTTATTTATACTAATTTCTACTAACTATACCAGCCCACTAACCAAACAAGTTTCCAAGTTATTAACGGATCCTAACATTACCCCCGCCCTAAAGAAACACATTGTCCTCAAGGTGTTCAGTAATCACAGCCGTGTTTCTCCACTTCCTTCTGATTCCTATCACGCTAATTCCATTCAACTCCCCTTCTGCCACCCCGCTCTTTGTAGATCCGACCCCAATCGGACCGAAATAAGAAGACCCAGTCCAAATGTCACTGGAATTGTCCTTAATCGCGTTGGAAGTGTGCAGCCCAGCCTTAACGGCATTGGAACCAACCCAAATCACGCCGGATTTGAGAAACCCAGCCCTTGGCTCGCCAGAATATGCCCTAATCGCACCATAATCATGAAGCCCAGCCCCAATTGCACGGAAATCAGCCCCAATTGCACTGAAATCAGCCCCAATCACGCTAGAATTCCAAGACCCAATTCTAATTGCTCCAAAATCATCCCTCATGACACTTGGATTCCAAGTCCCAGCCCTCCCATCGAGAGACCCAGCCCCCAAATCGCCAGAATTGATCTTAATCGTATCGGAATTGCAAATCCCAGCCTTCATGGCGTCAGAACTAGCCCCAACTACACCGGAATCAACCCCTTTCACGCCGGAATCGTGAGGCTCTATCCAAACAGTAGCCAAATCGTCGAGCCCAGCCTTCGTCGCGCCGGGATCTGTCTCCGTAGCATCGGAATCAGCCCCTTTCACGCCGGAATCGCGAGGCCCGGTCTAAATCGGTTTGGAATCAGCCCCAATCAAGACCGAAACAGGGATGGGTTCCCTGTTCCGAGGGTACCCATGCTGTCCCAGCCCCGGAGCAAGCCTCTCCTCCTCTAACTCCGGCTCCCATTCCGATTCCCGTCGCCGAACAAGCTCTGCCGCCTTCTCCCGACGGTCGCGACCTCCGTCCGCTCTCCTCCCGTCGTCGAACAACCCCCCACGCTGTAGATCCGAACCACCCAGCCCCAGATCGCGTCGGATCTCGCGCTCCTTCATGAGACCAACGTCTCTCCGGCATCGGAACTCCCTCTCGCGGCCTCAATCTTCACGAATTGGCGCTTCCCGGCGAAGATCCGCCCGATTTGGCACCTCCACTCCGCCTGGGTCGATGCGATTTGGGCTCTCCTCGCCCCAAGGCGCGCGATCTCACCTCTCCCCGTCCCGTCGTTCGCCGTCGCGACCCAACTCGGTCTTCCCGGCCTTCGGTCGCACCGCCAGCAGTGCCTCCATCCTCTGCAGCACCGCCTGCACGTCTTCCATCTGAGTCCGAACCTTCCCCACCTGGTCTCGGAGCCCCCCGATACTCCCTCCAGAAACCTTGAGATTACCTCTCAGAATAGTCCTAAGTTTCTCTCTTAACTCAAAGAGCTCCATGGATTGTAGATGCTCCAATACCATTGTTAGGACTCTAGTTCCTAATGGAAAAAATGAGCTAACAAGAGTTGACTAAAAATTGGCAATTGCCTTCTTTATTGAACTCGAATTACTACAATAACATCAAGAGCTTCAACGTAGCTCTGGAGACCATGGAAATGAAAGAGAAATACAGGAAATACAGGAAAAGAAAGATAGAGAGGGATTTTCGAGGAATCCCCAACCTCCCACTGAACAATTCGAGCACCAAATTCGACCCCCTCCTCCCTTCCTCGATGCTCCCCATATAACCACCCATCCTCTAACCAATTTCGTGCATCTCCCCATATGGGCCCTTCGTGCCTGCCACGCTCCCTCCCCGATCCATCTCATTTGGGCCTGGGCCCATCTCAATTCCTCTCTTGGCCCTCCTAACATAAACCTTTCGTACCGGAGGTCTAACAGATTGTTAGTGGTATTGTTTTCAATCTTCCAAATCTTGTCTTGCATCAATTATCCAAGCTTAATCATTATCCCACCATGAGCATTGTACAAGCTTGATCATTGCAATCATTTCATCGACGCTGTCAACTTTTTCAATTTTGTGTCCAAGATTTAAGTTTTCATTTTTAGTCTTCAAAATTGTGATGTGGGACTTCTATTGTATTGGCAGGCAGAGTTGATAGTTGATGCACATGTAGTGAGGAAAGGAAGGAATTTGACAGTAGTAGCAATTGATTTTACATCAAAAAAAACCCAGCAGATGATTTACCAAGCCCGTTCTACCTTCTATAACACGCCTCTTGCCAAACTATGAAGTTCTGTTGTTCGAGGAATCTGGGTAACAAGAATAATGTCCCTAAGAACTGATTGTTGTATCATTGCTTTAATGTGTCGGGACAAATAAGTCCTCTTTTTTGTAATGTAATTATTTTTCCACGCTCATTATCAGAATCATCTTATGATCTGAGGCCATGGGTGCTAAGATTTACGATTAAGTACTCTTTGAAGTTGAATGTAAATGATTACTCTGTGTTCTTTTTTACATATTTTATTCTAAATCTTGTATACTGAAGTGTAATATTTTTCTCTTACATTTAAGTAATCCAGGCTGCCAAAATTATTCAAAAATGAATTCAACTTTACTGCAAAAGGACAAACAAGTTCTTAGATGTGACGTTTGATAAAGAGATTCGTATCCTGATTCAAATTATGGTTCATAATTCGCTACAGTATTTTCTCTCATAAAAAATACACGTAAATTAAAAATAATTCTAATCTCATGATTTTAAATCTCACTCGTTACATAGAAGAAATAAACAAGTTTAACTTAAATCTCACACTTAAATATCACTCGTTACATATAAGAAATTAACCAGGATAGTGGATACAAACTGTTTCAATAAAACATTCAACAAAAAAAGCCTTGCTCAGCTGCTCACTCTTAAAAAGACTCGTTACTAAATGTACTGCACATAGATCAGCATTTGCATTCATCATCTGGAGATGAGATTGCCTTGCACACTGCAACACTTTTAGTCAGATATTGCGGGCAGGAAGTCTTTGTGGCAAAAGCTGCTTTATAGTCTGTGATTTCACAAGTATTGCACCAAAAATACACTCCAAAGTCCACATTCGCATGCAGTCTCGTGCTTGTCTGCAAAATCATTTGTTCTACTTGCCACCCTTTACTGTTTCCTTTAGCTATTCTGTAAGACAACCCTGCAAAATAATTTAGGCAAACTCGTGAACATCTCGGATTGGAAGAAACTAGCCATTAGCATTGATGTCTTACTCGAACCCCACCTTTAAGACCTAGGGAAATATGGCATTAACAAAGGCCTCTGCGTCAAAGGGTTGGAGGTCTTCCACCCCTTCACCAACACCCACAAACTTCACTGGGATGCCAAGCTCATCGACCACGCTTACCTGCACGTAGATATCATTGTCTAATAACTTGTACTCTCTAAATAGTATGAGGATCCAAATGTATGGAGAGCACAGCCAGATATTTCTATTAAAATGACAAATTAAATATTAGTCTCAAAGTTGGAACATACCACGCAGCCGCCTCTAGCAGAACCATCAAGTTTTGTTAATATCAAACCAGTAATTCCAACAACCTGTTGCGGAGGGCAAGTACAAACAATGAAGGCACATAAAGTTTAAAAAGCACATCAGTCAAAAGATCTGTGGCGTGTGGAAAATGGAAATGAATCAAATGGTCATGCTCTAGAAGAAAAATTCATTTCATAGAGAAAGTGAGGAAGAGGATGAGATCAGCAGTTGTCTAAATGTTTAGGTTTCTATATAATATATATCACATGAAGTACTAACTATATTAAAGAAAACACATCTCTTAGGAATCTTAATTCAATGGTTTAGGGAACCTGAGTTTTCTCTTCAGGGGTTAAGATTCCAGACTTTTATTATGCATAGATTATAGTGGAACGTTTAAATCACTATAAACCTCTATAACGAAGAAAAAGATCTACTGAAATTACTTGATACACGCAAGTTCGTAGTGCAGCAACTATCCATGTTAATATATAAAGCTAGTGACAGGAATATTACGTCATTAAACTCTCTTGCTTGTGGAAGCATGTTTAAACCAGTTGTCCCATCCAGAACTTGGAGGATCTCCTGCATGTGTATAGAAGGAAGATTTCATCAGAGAACAAGATATAAATTTCTTTTTTCGTAATGCCATATGTTATAATCTGATCATGGAGAGGGAATGGGTGGGACGAGGCAAAGAGTTAAACTCGCGTTAGGGGCGCCAGAAACAACTTTGCCTACGGCTTTCTTACAAGCAATCAACTCTTCCATGAGGCTATAATTAGTGTGAAGACCTGGGAATTTGAAAACACAAACATTCTTAAAACCAAGGACAAAAGATTAACAAATACAGAGCAACACAAGGTCATGTAAACTTACGTCCTGAGGTGTCACACAAGACAATATCATAGCCTTGTTCTTTTCCTCTCCTCACTGCCTGTGAAAGAACTATTCGAAAAGCACTTTAAAATCATGTATCAGTCTTTATTCCATGTATTTGAAATCTCTGAAGATAATCCAATGTCCCAAAAGAAATGCAAAAGTGAACACATAGCATTGATTTAATAAAATTGGCACCTGTTGATGCTTTGGCCTTCTCTCCTTCAGCAACAACAATTTCACAACCAGTTCTCTCAGCCCATATCTCTAGCTGATCACTTGCAGCTGCTCTAAATGTATCCCCTGCTGCCAACAATACCTGTTACAAGTTTTAAACAGTATACAATTAAAAAAAATAAAATAAAATAGAAACCTTCTCCCACGAAGCATGCCTTTTTCTACATTAGGCCACATCTTCAAACCTCCCCCGATTCCACTGATGACTATCTCCTAACGCCTCGTCCCTCTCCTTGACGTATTTCCGGTTACATAAGTCAATATTCAATTCAAAGAAGAAGAAGAAAGCAGACTCCAGAAACTCCTAAAGAAGATGTTGCACAACCCATTCTAAATCAACAGACTCCAGAAACTCCTAAAGAAGATGTTGCATAACCCATTTCCACTCCAACTTTGGCAAATGAGTATAATAACATGCATATCAACACCTAACTTTCTGAGAAAGTTTGCTGACTTTTTCCTGGATACTTCAAATGCTACTTCACCTCTTCCTTCACCAAGGTTTTTATGTTTTACGTCAACGGTAATTGCTTTCGTCCCAAAGCATTTTTTTTGTGCTCTAATTTCTCATGGTCCACGGGGGTTTATTAAATTTGTTAACATTTTGGGCATTAATTCAGTCATTGTAGTCAAGTGGGCCCAACTAAACAGACATACTAGTGATGCCGCTATTAAGATATTTCAAAATTAATTTGCAGCTTTACGGTCTACCCTACAAATATGGTATTGATCTTCATTTTCCATAATCATTTTATCACTGCATAAAAACAAGATTATTATACCAAAACAAGGTCAATAGACCACAACAAACTTCTACAGTTGCAAAAGCGAGGAGGAATCTCTTGATTACAAGCTTCAACAAAATGTTCAACAAGGAGGCCTCTCTTTATTATATTTCTCACCTTTGCTCCTTCATTCTTCAACCTATTAGCCAGCTTCCCTGCAAAATCCCAATTGGATCCTTATTTCATTAAGACCACGAAGGAGAGCAGAAGAAAGAGAGAAAGAAGAAAGCCTAAATATAATGTATCTAAAGGAAATACTCTACGAGCTTCTTATAACCTTACATGCTTTACTTTTTCACACTAAACTTAGCTTGTCTCCAGCTCAAAATCCTCATAAATGCATCAGCAAAATTTCATAGATATCCAATTCTCCCTTATCTCATTAGAGAAGTTTTATGATTTAATCCATCAACTTACCAAGAGATGTTGTCTTGCCACCTCCATTAACACCGACAACCATGACAACCGCAGGTTTCCTGATGGAATGAGACGATTAAAATCAAGATTAGTGCTTGAGGTCCTAACTTTCTTTCCCAACTTTTCTACAGCAACTCACATGACAAGCGAGTTGTCATCTTTATATTGATATATATATATATATATATATATATATTAATACTGATTGATGCGGCAATTTATTAAACTCGTACCACTAAAATAATAACAGCCCATAATCCACATTATTTGATATTAAAAAGTTGAGATTCTTTCTAAGTTAACAACCACAAAAACCAAGCTCAAAACATCCAAGAACCTGAATCCAAGCTTAAGTTCAGTTTTGCTCCCTTTCTTAGTCAGCAAGTCCAGCACACTCTTCTTCAACGCAGCCTGCAAGCATTGCAATTGAAATTACCACCATATCCTCACCTTACACTAATAACAAGCCCTCTTATTTTATCTACTCTTTTTTCTTTTTCCCTCTCCTGTTTTTTTCCATTTCAAGGAAACAAAAACCTTCCAAGCAACAAAAGATCAGAACATCATCCCTCAGTCTTTAATTCGAATTAAACTTTAATTTCATAGGCGCAATTATGAAAATGACGACCTTAATTTCGCTTCCCGATTTCAGCTTCCCTGCGAGAATATCATCCCTCAAGCTTTCCACAATCTTTATCGTAATTTTCGGCCCAAAATCAGACACTAGAAGAGCCTTTTATCCAACAAAATCAGGGGAAATTCATAATTAAGTTGAGAGATTAAGGATATACGAGAATAGGTTGAGCAAATTTTTCTTGAGAAAATGGGAAAAAGTAAACCTCTTCTAGTTCGTCGAGAACTCGGTCGGTGTCGGCGAGGTTCCAGTAGAGAAGAAGCTCGTCAACGACGGCAAGGTTGTCGCGGGTCTTGGAAAAGCCAGAGAAGATCTTCTCGACGTCGCTCCTGGCCTTCTCCTTTATCAGCCGGCCCAGCCGGGTGAAGAACCCGGTCTGCCCAGCGCTGCATTTGAACCGGGAGTTGCAGGACCGGGTTAGTAGGAGGCGGTTTTTCTGTTGTTGCGTTAAAGGGTTTGAGCAGAGCGGGAGGTGAGAGAGAGAACATGGAGAGGGAACAGCCATTTTCCTCCTGCTCTCAGCTCCAAAGAGATTGAGGAATCGAAATTTTAGAGAGAGAAACTGGATAACGTCGTGATTGTGCAGCTACGCTCGCTCGCTCTCTCTTTTTGTCAAATTCATTGTCGTCTCTTTATAAGAACGAGTACACACGACAGTGGCTAGTGTAATAGAATTTAGTAAATTATGAGATTAAATTACATAATTAAAAATTATGGCTAGGGTTTTCTTAGGGTTTCTTAGGATTTTTTCTCAGGATTTTTTCAAGGTGTTCTCAGGGTTTTCTAAGAGTTTTCTCGGGGTTTTCTTAGCGTTTTCTCAAGGATTTCTTTGGAGCTTCTCAGGGTTTGCATAAGTTTTTCTCAATGTTTTCTCAGAGTTTTCTTCGTTTTTCTTAGGGTTTTCTCGGAATTTTTTCAAGGTTCTTCTCTGGGTTTTCTCATAATTTTCTCAGCATTTTCTCGGGGTTTTCTCAGGGTTTTCTTAGGGTTTTCTCAGAGTTTTCTCGGGGTTTTCTCAGGGTTTTCCTCAGGGTTTTCTCAGGGTTTTCTTGGAGTTTTCTTAGGGACTAAGGGCTTTCTCAGGGTTTTCTCAGGGTTTGCTCGGGGTTGTCTTAGAGTTCTCTCGGGGTATTCTAAGGGTTTTCTCAGGATTTTCTCAACGTTTTCTCATTGTTTTCTCAGGGTTTTCTCAGGGTTCTTCTCAGGGTTCTCTTAGGGTTTTCTCAGGGTTTTCTCAGGGGTTTTTAAGGGTTTTCTTAGGGTTTTCTCAGATTTTTCTCAGGGTTTTCTCAGGCTTTGCGTAGGTTTTTCTCAGGGTTAGGTTTTCTAATTTTTTCTCAGGGTTTTCTCAGGGTTTTCTCGGGGTTTTCTCAGGATTCTTCTTTGGGTTTTCTTAGGGTTTTCTCAGGGCTTTCTCAAGGGCTTTCTCAGGGTTTTCTTATGGTTCTCTCAGTGTTTTCTCAAGGTTTTCTCAGGGTTCTCTCAGGGTTTTCTCAAGGTTTTCTCGGGATTTTCTCGGGCTTTTGTTAGGGTTTTCTCAACGCTTTTCTCTGGGGTTTTTTCAAGGTCTTATCATGGTTTTCTTAGGGTTTTCTCGGGGTTTTCTTTGGGTTTTCTCAAGATTTTCTCAGGATTTTCTCGGGGTTTTCTCAGGGTTTTTCTCAGCGTTTTCTCAGGGTTTTCTCAGGGTTTCCTTGGAGTGTTCTTAGGGTTTTATCAGGGTTTTCTCATGGTTTTCTCGGGGTTTTCTCGGGGTTTTCTTAGGGTTTTCTCGGGTTATTCTTAGGGTTTCCTCAGGATTTTCTCAGGATTTTCTCAGAATTTTCTCATTGTTTTCTCAGGGTTTTCTTGGGGTTTTCTCGGGATTTTCTCAGGGTTTTCTCAGGGTTTTTCTCAGGATTTTCTCAGGGTTTCTCAGGCTTTTTTCTCAGTGTTTTCTCAGGGTTTTCTCAGGATTTTCCCAGGGTTTTGTCGGGCTTTTCTCGGGGTTTTCTCAGGGTTTGCGTAGGGTTTTCTCAGGGTTTTCTCAAGGTTTTCTAATTTTTTCTCAGGGTTTTCTCTGGCTTTTTTCAAGGTTTTCTTAGGGTTTTCTCGGGGTTTTCTCAGAGTTTTTCTCAGGGTTCTCTCAGGATTTTCTCAGGATTTTCTCAGGGTTTTCTCGGGGTTTTCTCAGGCTTTTGTCAGGGTTTTCTCAGGATTTTTTCAGCGCTTTTCTCTGGGGTTTTGTCAAGGTTTTGTCACGGTTTTCTCAAGGTTTTCTCGGGGTTTTCTCTGGGTTTTCTCAGGATTTTCTCAGAGTTTTCTCAGGGTTTTCTCAGGGTTTTCTCGGGTTTTTCTCGGGGTTTTCTCAGGGTTTTTCTCAGGGTTTTCTCAGGGTTTTCCTCAAGATTTTCTCAGAGTTTTGTCAGGATTTTCTCAGGATTTTCTTGGGTTTTTCTCAGGGTTTTCTCAGGGTTTTCTCAGGGTTTTCCTCAGGGTTTCCTTGGAGTTTTCTTAGGGTTTTCTCAGGGTTTTCTCGAGGACTTCTCGGGGTTATCTTAGGGTTTTCTCGAGGTATTCTCAAAGTTTCCCCAAGATTTTCTCAGGATTTTCTCATTGTTTTGTCAGGGTTTTCTTGGTGTTTTCTCTGGGTTTTCTCTGGGTTTTCTCAGGATTTTGTCATGGTTTTTCTCAGGGTTTTCTTAGGGTTTCTCAGGCTTTTTTGTCTATGTTTTCTCAGGGTTTTCTCAAGGTTTTCCCAGGGTTTTCTCAGCGTTTTCTCGGGGTTTTCTCGGGGTTTTCTCAGGGTTTGCATAGGGTTTTCTTAGGGTTTTCTGAATGTTTTCTAATTTCTTCACGAGGTTTTCTCAAGCTTTTCTCAGGGTTTTCTCAGGGTTTTCTCGTGATTTTCTCAGGGTTCTTCTCGGGGTTCTCTCAGGATTTTTTCGGGGTTTTCTCAGGGTTTTCTCGTGGTTTTCTCAGGGTTCTTCTCGGGGTTCTCTCAGGGTTTTCTTTGGGTTCTCTCAGGGTTTTCTCAGGGTTCTCTCGGGCTTTAGTCAGGATTTTCTCAGCGCTTTTCTCTCGAGTTTTGTCAAGGTTTTGTCATGGTTTTGTCAGGGTTTTCTCGGGGTTTTCTCTGAGTTTTCTCAGGATTTTCTCGGGGTTTTCTTAGGATTTTCTCGGGTTTTCTCAGGATTTTCTCAGAGTTTTCTTAGGGTTTTCTCAAGGTTTTCTCAGAGTTTTCTCATGATTTTCTCGGGGTTTTCTCGGGGTTATCTTAGGATTTTATTGGGGTGTTCTTAGGGTTTTCTCAGGGTTTTCTCAAGGTTTTCTCATTGTTTTCTCAGGGTTTTCTCGGGGTTTTCTTAGGGTTTTGTTATGGTTTTCTGATGGTTTTCTCAGGGTTTTCTCGGGGTTTTCCTCACGGTTTTGTCTGCGTTTTCTCAGGGTTTTCTTGGGGTTTTCTCAGGGATTTCTCAGGGTTTTCTCAGGATTTTTCTCAGGGTTTTCTCAGGTTTTTCTCTGGGTTTTCTTAGTGTTTCTCTGGGTTTTTTCTCAGTGTTTTCTCAGGATTTTCTCAGGGTTTTCCTATGGGTTTCTCTCGGTTTTCTTGTGGGTTTCTCATGGTTTTCTCAGGGTTTTCTCGGGGTTTCCTCAGGGTTTTCTCAGGGTTTGCATAGTGTTTTCTCAGGGTTTTCTCAGAGTGTTCTCAAGGTTTTCTAATTTTTTCTCTGGGTTTTCTCATGGTTTTCTCAGGCTTTTCTCAAGGTTTTCTCAGGATTTTCTCGGGGATTTTTCAGGGTTCTTCTCAGGGTTTTCTCAGGGTTTTTGTTGGGTTTCCTCGAGGTTTTACTCAGGGTTCTTATCTGGGTTCTCTCAGGGTTTTCTCAAGGTTTTCTCCGGGTTTTCTCGGGCTTTTGTCAGTTTTTTCAGGGTTTTCTTGGTGTTTTCTCAGGGTTTTCTCGGGGTTTTTCCAGGGTTTTCTCAGGGTTTTCTCTAGGGTTTTCTTGGGATTTTGTCAGGGTTTTGTCACGATTTTCTTTGGGTTTTCTCAAGATTTTCTCGAGGTTTTCGTCGATTTTCTCAGGGTTTTCTCATGATTTTCTTAGCGTTTTCGCAGGGTTTTCTCGGGGATTTCTCAAGGTTTTCTCAGAATTTTTCTCAGGCTGTTCTTAGAGTTTTCTCGGGGTTTTCTAAGGGTTTTCTCAGGATTTTCTCATGGTTTTCTCGGGGTTTTCTTTGGGTTTTCTCGGGGTATTCTAAGGGTTTTCCCAGGGTTTTCTCAAGGTTTCCTCAAGGTTTCCTCAAGGTTTTCTCAGGGGTTTTTTCAAGGTTTTGTCACGGTTTTCTCAGGATTTTCTTGGGGTTTTCTCTGGGTTTTCTCAGGATTTTCTTGAGGTTTTCTCAGGGTTTTCTCAGGGTTTTCGCAAGGTTTTCTCAGGGTTTCCTCAGAGTTTTCTTAGGGTTTTGTCAGGGTTTTCTCGGGGTTTTCTCAGGGTTTTCTTAGGGGTTTCTCGGGGTATTCTCAGGGTTTCCTCAGGATTTCCTCAGGGTTTTCTCAGGATTTTCTCATTGTTTTCTCAGGCTTTTCTCGGGGTTTTCCTGGGGTTTTCTCAGGGCTTTCTCCGTGTTTTTCTCGGGGTTTTCTCAGGGTTTTCTCAAAGTTTTCTCAGGCTTTTTTCTCAGTGTTTTCTCGGGTTTTCTAGGGCTTTTCTCGGGGTTTTCTCAGGGTTTTTTCAAGGTTTTCTAATTTTTTCTCAGGGTTTTCTCTAGGTTCTTCTCAGGGTTTTCTCAACGTTTTCTCAGGGTTTTTTCACGGTTCTTCTCAGGGTTCTCTCAGGGTTTTCTCGGGCTTTTATCAGGGTTTTCTTAGGATTTTCTAAGCGTTTTTCTCTGGGGTTTTGTCAAGGTTTTTGTCACGGATTTCTTAAGGTTTTCTCGGGGTTTTCTCTCAGCTTTCTCAGGATTTTCTCAGGATTTTTCAAGGTTTTCTTAGGGTTTTCTCGGGATTTTCTCAGGGTTTTTCTCAGGGTTTTCTCAGGGTTTTCCTTAGGGTTTTCTCTGAGTTTTCTTATGGTTTTTTCAGGGTTTTCTAAGAGTTTTCTCACGGTTTTTCTCAGGGTTTTCTCAGGGTTTTTCTCAAGGTTTTCTCAGAGTTTTCTTAGGATTTTTCTCAGGATTTTCTCAAGGTTTCCTTGGAGTTTTCTTAGGGTTTTCTCAGGGTTATCTTACGGTTTTCTCGGGGTATTCTCTGGGTTTCCTCCGGATTTTCTCAGGATTTCCTCATTGTTTTGTCAGGGTTTTCTCAGAGTTTTCTCGGTATTTTGTCAGGGTTTTGTCAGGGTTTTATCAGGGTTTTTCTCAGGGTTTTCTCAGGGTTTCTCAGGGTTTTTTCTCAGTGTTTTCTCAGGATTTTCGTAGGGTTTTCTCGGGATTTTCTCGAGGTTTTCTCATGGTTTGCATAGGGTTTTCTCAGGGTTTTTTGAAGGTTTTCTAATTTTTTCACAGGGTTTTCTCAGGCTTTTCACAGGGTTTTCTCAAGGTTTTCTCAGGATTTTCTCAGGGTTCTTCTTAAGATTTTCTCAGGGTTTTCTCGGGGTTTTCTCAGGGCTTTCTCGGGGTTTTCTCGGGGTTCTT